CAAAGCAGGTCACAGGAGATGGCTGACAAATGTGCCAGGCTTGGATTGTGTTGGGCAGACTGAAATAGGGCTCAGCCTCCTGTGAGGCAGAGGAAAGAGCTGAGGCAGACCTCTCTACACGATCCCCATGGAGACATTTTGGCACTTCAGGAACTCCTGGAATCCCTGGTGTGTGGCTCTGGCACCACAGAGACTACCAGAGAATCGTCTAGAAGGCTATTCTAGATAGAAGAACTATTAGAAAACTATCAAGAAATGTCCAGCAAAGAGGTGCTTGAGGACAACAAACAAGATGTCCCTACGCACTCCAGACACATTCCATTCAGAGGAACAAGAGCATGCCAGGGTAGAAAAAGCCCTAAAAGAGCCCTCAGGAGCTCTGTAATGTATGATGATACACCGAGCCTTGGCTGAGGCCTAATAATAAGCAGCCACCGTGGTGACTCAGAGAGCTCTTTGGTGGCTGGACATGAGAGAGCAGCAGGAAGGAACAGAATAACTGAGGAGCAGGAAGCCCCTGATGAAGGACTGATTGCCCAGAGCACAACAGAAACATGCTTTTCATCCCCATGACGTACTTCCATGTCCGGACAATTCTGAAGTCTGTGCTTTCAATGCACACTTAAGAAAGCACTCCATCCTGTGCACACACCCAGCCTGTGGCTCTCAACACACAGCCTGGAAAAAAGAAGACCAGCCAAAAGGGAAGAGGGCAAGAACGGTGGAGCACTGGAGATACAATAGTCCAAGCCAGAAGCCAAGCATCTGCTCTGCTCCCTCACTTGCTCTCAATGCAAAAGACAGGGAAAACGCTTGGTCATGATGTTCAAACAGGACCTGCTCCCCATCCCTGGGAACATCTGCCAGAATTAGCAATCCCATATCAGAGGTGAAGAATAAAAGCACTTGTAACCTCTTTAGCAATTTTCGCATGCTTGCTGCTTTCACAGCAACCTTCTCTTTCAGCTTAAAATAAATACAGCCTTCTGAAATTGCTGAAAGACTACAGAACCACAGAATGATTCAGGCTGGAAAAGATCTCTGAGATCATCAAGGCCAGCTGTAACTGTCCAGCCCTTTCTCGACAAAGCCAGAAACTGGAACTGATGTATCTGGGGATGCAAACATGGGGGGCAAGGAGCTATAAAGGGGGATTAGTGCTGTCATCCTGAATTCCAGCATCTGAAAGAGATGCATCTCTGCCTGTGATACCACTGCTGTCAACTCACAGCAAACAGGCGAGCCTGACTTTTGCTCCTGTGTTTGCATCCAGAGGACATCTCACCTCTTTCTCTTCTCCTGAGGATTATCTTCTCTTGAGGATTTGCATATTAAGCTGTGTAATTAAGCAGTGGGTGCTCTACTCCCACAGGGGCTTCTGCGTCTCATATGAAACCAGGCCAGAGTGGAGCCACATCATCCACCTGCAAGATTCATTAACTCTTTCTTCAGACAGGGCTTCTTTGAGCATGAACCCCTCAAAAAGCCTTTTTGTGAGCTCTGGGCTTCACACACCGAGCACAAGGCCTAAGTGAGGTTTGCTGCCTTCCAGTGAGGTCTCCTGCTTTCCAGCACACAGCATGATGCTGCTGCAGCATGACAGTAGCTGAATTGCATAACCAGCATAGAACCCGACCAACAACAAGCAAAACCCAGCCTGAGGGGAGCGAACCACAGCTCCAGCTTCACAGTGGGATGCTGCATCCTGCACTGGCTGCACAGCTCAAGGAGTGTGGCTCCCCAGATACCTCTGCTGTGTGGTCCAGCTCTCAGTTACACACACGAACTACACCATGAAAAGGGCAGAATTTTGGGATAACGTTTGTGTTTATACGGATGCCAAGAATGTCCAGAGCTACAGCCATAATTCAACACATTGATTTAATATCCTTTCCAGAGTTAAACTAATCTCCAGCTACCAGTTTTCAGGATAAACCTAACTCAGTACCAGAATGCCTCCATATCCCATTCTACAGCCCTAGACTTTCTAATGAGGCAGTAAGCTCCGGCCACCAGCGGGGACCTGACAGCAGGCTAGATTAAAGCTAGATTAAATTTCCTGTACCTTTCATTAGACCCAGCAATAATACTCAAAATGCACAGGGAAAGCCCAGTGGCAAATAACTTAATTAGAAGTGAAAGTCTCACACCTTCTTGGTGACCAGCACATCTGCTGAAGCTGAGGGTCACAGTCTGTAGTCAGCAGGACAGCAAAAGGAGGAAAATACGGGAAGCTGTTCTGGACTCCCTCCTGCTGCCCCCCACCAAGGGTCCAACACTGCTTTCTATGGAAGATTCCCAATACTTTGGCTGAAATGACGCCAGCCCTTGGGCAGGGCTTGGTGTTATTTTTAACACTTGCTCACATAACTCTTTGGATGAATCCTGGGAAGAGCTTGTCACCAAAATAGTACACTGTGGGCACTATTTATACACCCACTGGCAGCGCCGCAGGATATGCTGAGGAAAGCTTGAGCACCCCTTTATCCTCTTCACAGGGATACAGCAGGGCCCTAGAACGTTGTTTGCTCTTTGGGGTAGGCCTCGGAAGTGAGCCATCACCTGCAGGAGGCCTGGTATCCCTGTCTGTCCTGCTGAGGAGACAGACTCTGATCCATATAGGAGGGAAGCCCAGGTACATTAGGCTCAGGGAAGATGGATGGCTGAGTGCACATCCCAGCTGCTGTGGACTAAAAAGGGAACAGTCGTGCCTAAACACAGAAAATGCTGACGCCTTCCTATTTTATCTCTCCTTGGCTCCTGCAGGGAAATCCAGCAGGGATTTGGTTTCTTGGTCATCACCTATTTTCCCGATGTGGCAGCAGCAAAGGTGTGCAGTGGTGGGGGCAGGTGAAGCACTAATGTCAGCAAGGTTCACTGGAAAGGAGGCACCAGACTAACAAGACTGACTGTCCTTTATCCCTAGGGACAGCAGCAACCTCAGGCCTTTCCATATCAAAACAGTGTGCTCTAAAGCACTAAAAGAAAAAAATAAATAAAAATCAAAAGCAAATCACCCTTTTGAGACTATGCAAGGAAAAGAGGCTCTTTCCTTGTCTGATTTTCTGGGTTAAAAATAACTTCTTTAAAACCATTTCCAAGCCTATTGAACTTCCTTGATTTTCATCTTCAGTGAGTTTCACCTCCCTCCCCCTTTCTCCCAAGACACATCAGGCTGCTCTCAACTCTCACATCTCCTGGAGAAGCAGGTGACATGACCTGAAGAACATGCACAGGATGCTGCATGAGAACAGACAAGACAGAGAAGAGAAGACTCCGTCTTGAAGCAGAAAAGGACACAAAGCTTGATTTTTCCAGTATGTATGTATGTACAACTGAAATGCATACACACATCTTCTTTCCTTGCAAGAGAGGCTACAGCCTGAGCAGCACACTGGCTGCCTGTCAGAGCTACAGAACAATGCAAAATAAACCCACTAATTGACACATGCTGTAAAGGCAGGGGCAGGACTGGTCACATTAGTTTTAGCAGAACAAACAGGAGGGATCAGCTCCTACCTTGCCAGATACAACCACCCCAGGACGTGGGCTCAGCTCACCGCAGCTGGAAGCCGAGTGCAGCAGCGCTGGAATGAGAGCCACAGGACGAACACAGCATGCAGAGCCAGCGATAATCCAAAGCAAAACCAGCTTGTCCCCGTGCCGGCTCAGGGATCAGCGAGCCGGGATGCGGGGAGTCTCCGCCGGCTGCTCCCCTGTTGATGCAGGATGGCGGGCAACAGGCAAGATGACACGGCACTTCTTCCAGACCGGAGCTGGCTGAGAATTCCTCCTGCTGCCAGCCACCTGCCCCGCGTCAGGCACAGCGGTGCCAGGGTCTCACTCGGGGAGCGTGTGGGCAGGAGAGAGGAGCGAGGGCCAGATTGCTAATGAAAGCCCCAGTGTAAATACAGATGCGCACAGGAGAGGGCTATGGCAGAAATGCAGCTCGAGTTACAGAGAGCCATTTACAGCAGGCTCAGAAAGCGGGGACAGCGTGGCAGGGCTGTGCGGGATGGGACCGCTGCCTGCGGCTCGGACAGAGGCCGGGAGGGCGGCCGCTGCCAGGGGAAGCCATGGGGTGAAGTGACCACTAGCGAGGGGAGACCCCACCAATTCCACATTCTCCATCAGATCCTCAGCTCCACATGCAGTACGTGCTAGCAGTAATGCAAATCGATCCAACTTCCCATCCTGCACCCCAGCTGGGACATCCCCAGCCCCACACTTTCTCTAGTGCAGAGTGCCACAGCAGCCCACCACGCCAGGGAGAAAGGGGAGCATTCACCTGCTCAGACCCACTCCTACTGTCCTCTCCCCAGGCTCCAGGTCTCCACAGCTTTTAGACTTATCCCCTCTTCCCAGTTCAACGCCTTTGGTATCTCCTGCCAGGATTTTTTTCTTTCTCTGCCATCTCAGGGTAATTTACAAGCTGTACTGCAGCTGGATTTACAGCAAATACAGAACATGGAGGATAGGGACTAGGTTGGCATCACAGGCTATTCTGAATTGGAAGCGACACAGAAGGACCATCAAGTCCAACCCTTAAGTGAATGTCCCATTCAGGGATCAAATCCACAACCCTGGTATTATTAGTATCATGCTCTAACCAACTGAGCTCATCTCATGGTTAAGAAGCAAGGCATCAAAGGGTTTAGGGTTTTTTCCTCCACTGCATTCAACTAGAACCAACAGCAGAAGAGAGGTTTGCAGGTTTCAACCACTGCCCATTAAACAAGCCTTGGGACATCTCAGGGAGAGGCTGGGAAGGAGCTCTTTCAGGACATTTCACAGCACAGCAGGCAGGCATATAGCTCATACCAGTGACCTCTATGTGAAACTGGCAGTGGAAGTACAAGGAGTTCCTGTAGCTCTCAAGAAACCATGGTCTGTAAGGATGTGGGGGACCTCCAGCTCAGCAGGGTAAAACCTCAAGAAGACCACTTCCCTGCTCGGTGCCTCAGTTTCCCCCCCTGAAAAACAAGGACAGTAACACTTACCAAGCTGCTGTGGATGTTGAAAACTTTGTCATGGAATGCTGGCAGCCTGTAAACAGGAATGGGCATTCTGTGGGACTCTCTTCCCACCCATACAGCAGAGATCCCTTGTGGCTTCCCTCTACAAACAAGCTACAGCTTGCAGCTTCCTTCACCCTCACCACAGCAGGTACCCTGCAAAGACAGGGATCCCCATTACCCCCAAAAGCAGGAGCATCAATCCCTCTACCAGCTGTGCCCAGGCCATTTGCCAGGCAGGAATGCTGTGCACCAGCCCAGCCTCAGCCGAACTGTCAAAGCAGCGGAAGGGCTGAAACTGTGCTGCTCTGGAATTCCAGAAACGCACAAACACCCTGTCAGCCTGCACCAGGAATGACTCCTCCCTGCCCGGGACCAGGCTGAATCACTGGAAATACCAAAACAACGATGAGGTCACGTTCCCCGAGCAAAGAACTGGAGCCAGATATAGCTGCATGGAGAAGTGGCTAAAAAGGGACTCGGTGTAGGGGCTGGGGGCTCTGGCAGACAGGCACCATGGGCATTTGTCTCATTTAAAAACAGCTTGAGGCTGCCAGGAGACTTTTTTTCTTCTCTGTAGGGAGCAGAGAATTGTCTTTAAAACACTTTATCCATCCCACTGAAAGAGGCACAAGCATTCTAATGTTTATGAGTTCAAGGAACAAGGCAAAAGTAAAATTATGACTGGATTCTGAGTCCAGCGTTCCCAAAATCTCACTGTGATATGATGATCAGGCTTAACCAGTGAAGAATCCCCTCACAGCAAACTGAATGGCAGACAAAAAATAATATGCCCATTTACTGCTCTTTTGCTTTTGCTACAGCCTCAGCCAGCTTCCACAAAAAATACTCAAACCCCACCCCAAAAAACAAATAAAAAGAAATTTTAAAAAATCTGCAAAAACCCCCAAAAAACAAAACCACAAAACAAAACACAAAACCACAAAACCAAAAACAAATGAACAGAAAATCACAATGCCAGAACCATTGATTTGGTAAATTTTCAATAGGATGAGCAGCAAGAAACTGTGGCTTCTGTTAATGCTTCTAAAATGAGTACTTCGTTATCAGCAAATAGACTTTTCAAGGCTTTGTAGTTCCAAACTTTCACGGTTCTCTATGGAGGGAGACTGGAGACATTTTGCTATTTAGACTGTGAAGGAAATTGCAACACAAGACTTGGAAAGGATAAAGGAATTCACAATAGAATTTGCAATAGCATGTTCTTTCCCCTTTCCGTAGGACAAGACATTTGGATGGATAACAACACCACCCACAGTTACATGAATAAGAAGCTCTAAGGATCCAGACTTTGTTCCATCTTAATCATAAGCCAAGAGGGAGAAAAGAAAAGACTGGACAGCTAATGCCAAGCATGTCACCTGCCTGGCAGGGCAGTGCTCACTGGGCTGGCACACCCTTGCAACAACCACAGCAGTGCCTGGTACACTGAGCCAGCCCATGGGACATGCCTGCATCAGTCCTCTTCTCCTGAAAGTCTAAGTATGGCCTGAGAGATCATAAGGGGAAATCCAAACAGTCCTTAGAGAAGGAAATCAACCTTTGCAGGTGTTGTTTGTCTCCTTGTTGTTTTCTTGCAAGAAACAGTCAAGGGGTGTCGTTCCTAACTGTCCAATGATGGTGATGTGTTGGTTTGACGGCAAATGAGAGTTTTACCTTTTTGGACCTGCTCAGAATTGTCTATAAAAGAAGATCTGAAAGAATAAAACTTGCTCTCTTTTGCAACTAAGGCTAGAGAGTCTGTGTTGTCACTTTGCTGTTCCTAATACAGTGTGACAAAAGTCCGTCCAGATTTGCCAATAAAAGTGGTAAGAAAATCTGTGGTGAGTTGTGTATGACTCCTGCAGTAGAGTTGTGAGAGCAGAAGTGCTCGAAACCAAATAGGTTCATTTTTACCCCACTGTTCCCACACACTCTGGTAACCAGAATCACCTCAGTGGGTTCACCACGAATTCTTCTGGTTTAGTGCCCTATCTCTGGTAACGTGGCACTGGCACATAAATATTACAGAGTGATTTCACTGAGTGCAATCAGAGTGATCTCCCCTAAGGACACATTCTTCCAGCCTGCAACAATCAGGAACTCCTAGAGCTGGAGGTCACACACTGACCATCACGTTTCACAGGCACATCTCTGCCATTTAGGTGTCTGGTTCCTTTTGGAATCTGTGTGTATTTTCAGTCTTCATGCCATCTCGTAGCAACATGTTCTACATGTTCTACAAATCATCTGCGTTGAAAAAGCACTTCCTCGGCCTCCTGTCTAATAAATTATTTTACTGGATGTGCTTCCTCTGCACTGTGAGAAATAGCAAAGTTTATTAAGGTCAGTCTTAACTTCTCCCTGCTGAACACTATATTACAGATGATTGCTCTTTCCCAGTATCATCTACTTTTGCTTCTTTAATCTCTCTTCCTTACAGAAGCTATCCCAGTCCCTTAATCATCCCAATTCCACTTTTCTATATAATTTCCAGGTCTACATTACTCTTTCTGAGAGAGGGTGACCAGCTGGTATGTGATACGCAAGATGCAGGCACAGCTTGTATATATATTCAAGAATATATACCAGCAAATTTTGTTTCCAGTGGTTTTTGGCTACAGCTGAACATTTAGCTAATGTGCTCAGATAACAATCCTCAGTGACCACAAACAGCTTTGTGGGCAGTGAGAAGCTGTCTACAGAATACCATTACATGTGGCATTTATCAGCATGATCTCCCATTTGCTGTTTTGTCATGCTAATTGTTCTGCAAGATGCTCCTGTAATTCCTCAAGAAGTTTTCAAACCAACCACCCTGACTTAGAATCACTAGAAAATTATAGTCTTCTTTATGTCTTCCAAACCAGAGCGAGGTGTGCTGTGCAGGGACCCCTGCAGGACCAGGCACTGCAGGTACCAGAGCTTTGATGCCCTGCGCAGCATTTGACAGTGCTCCAAGCACAGTGACCAGGAATGCTAGATAATTACCTCAATCAAGCTCCATGATCCAGAATCAGAAGAACAGAGACCTAGAGCCAGCAAACCTCAGAAAATACCCTGCTATGAGTCCAGGCCTTTGGTGAAGAACTGGGAATTAAGTATTCAGTGGAAGATAGATTACATAAGGTGAAAAATAACTGGGGGTAGCCAGCCTCCCTTTACATCTGGGAGGAACACTCCAAGCAGAAAAACTCCTCACAACCAAGTTTAACCTGAAGCACTCCAAGTTGGGCTGGCAAACCAGCAGGTTCTGATGCCTGGCTGAGCTGCAGCACAGGTTACCACAGGAAGGAGCATCAGGCAGCTACAACTACATACAGTATCTTCATTTCATTTATTCCCAGAGCTCAAAGCCCAGGGATGGAGTAGAAAAGGGTGAAGGAGAACTTCATCTATCCCTCATCTGTTTTGTACAAAATACTGCTCACAATCCCAGAAGGGAGACAGAAGTGAGGTTTTAATAAACCATAAGCCTTATGCAATATCATGGTTTGGGACATTACATTCTTCAGCTCACGTTAAAAAAAGAAATACAGATTATTCCTACACAAAGTCCATCAAACACTTCCCTGTCAACAGATGCATTGATCCATCCAGAAGGCAACACAACCAAGCCACTGAGGAAAAGAAAATGCAGAATACCAGGCATCCTGTGCAGGAAAATGTGTCAGACAGCATCTGCTGCCACAGCAAAAACTGAACCAGAAGCAGAACTGCAGAGAGACTACTGCACAGCCATAAACCAGGCTTGCACCTTCTGAAAATTCTATGAAGCCTTATCCACAGCCTGAAGGTTTCTGAGGGACGACTGCCAGGAGGTAAGGAAGCCTCTGAAGCAGCTGCTGTAGGTGTTGCTGTCTAAGACCAAAGGATGCAAACCCACTGCTGCCAGCAAAAGGTCACCAGACTGGAACCTTGCCCAGCAGCTTCTACTAAGCACACTAACTAGGAGACTTTCAGACTGCAATTTTTCAACATGAGAGTACAAATTAGTTTTCTAAATACAGACCTATACTCTACATGGAATGAATGGCCTGGATGCCCACAGGGCTGATGGAGGTTAGCACTTGATGACACAAAAGCCTTCAGTTTAAAATCCAGGGCAGCTACTGACTTCCTGAGTCACCTTGGTGTTCATTCTTCAGCCCCTGGTGAGCAAGGAGATATTGATGTTCCCTGCCTCTCAGAGAAGCCAGAATGCAATAAAACTTAAAAAGATCTCAGGATCCCTGCCATAAATCCCAAAGTTAAGGGAGGTAAACAGGATTTCACATTATGTACCAAAGCCAGGCTTCTTTTATGAAGTGCCTGATTTGGATGTGGAGGTAGGATGCAGGCAGTAACAAAAACATTGGCCTTCCCTGGAGACACACTGCTCAGATCAGCTGGTGCTGTGTTTGTGAGGTGACATGTGGGGCTGGTGATGGCACCTGCAGGCCTGGCCCAGTCTCACACTCAGGTTTGAGAACAGTGGCTCTCGCTGGGCACACAAGGAATTCAGCAGCACAACCATCACCAGGGCACACAGCTCCCCCAAAGCCAGGCATGATGCTCACAGAGAACCTATGAAAAGTGAGTGGTTGGGTCATATGTTTTCCTAATTCAGAGGAAGCCTGGCCTAGCTCCGATATCCCACAACATCTCTTGGTGATGAGAGTGGGGGTTGGAAAAGTCAAGATCCATTTATAGCTGAAAAGTCTGGCAGAGGGCTCAGCTCTTGTTGTGTGGAAAAGCAGGAGCTGACAGCTCAGTACAGTCAGCTCCACCCAGCTGGAGAGGCAGAGTCGGGGAAGAGACAGGGGTATGGAAACCTCTTCCCTTCAAGCTGGGAGTGATGGGAGAGAGGTGGCTTCTCTACAGTGCCAGGAAGAGAAAGAAAACCACTCTTCTAAATAAGACGTAGGGCAGGAGAAGATTAGCTTTGGAAAAACTGAGTAGCTGTGCTGCAGATATGGCCAAAAGCACTCAGAGGTCAAGCCCAGGCTGCAGGGCTCTGCACCCTTCCTCTGAGCCCTTCATCCCATCCAGCCCTGCAGCAACACAGCAACACAGGGACAGGGACAGGGACAGGGACAGGGACAGGGACAGGGACAGGGACAGGGACAGGGACAGGGCTGGCTGGCTGGCTGGGAGCTGTGGCTGGGAACTCGGCCCTAATGCTTATTGCTGGGAGAAATGTCAGCTCCCTCACTCCAGCATATTTACATCAGCCAGCACATCAGCAGATGTAGCAAAATGTCCTTGCCAGCCCTCATGGAAAAAGCTTGGCCCTAAGGACAAGGCACCAGTTTAAA